CAGGCACACACACACCATGTGGGTCCACCCACCAGGCTCACTCAGCCACAGCCCTTCTTTCCGGGCTGCCTGTCATGTCAGATGCCCACGCTACCAGGCATCTCTGTCTGCTCCTCTCTGGAGGGAACAATGAGGCCACTGTGACCCTCACAGGATTCTGATGGCCTCACATTGTCCTCCTGAGGTCACCACAGAGATAACCTCACTACCCCCTGCACCTGCGGCACAAGTCTGCTGAGGCCAGCGTGGGTGAGCATCCTTGGTCCTCCTTCTGGCTGCCCAGGGCAAGGCTCGGGCCAGAGCCCTACGAGGAAGCCTCTAAGGGCACCAGGACTTGGGACACACCTAAGCCACCGAGGAGCAACCCAGTAGAGACTTCCAGCCACCATCCTGGAGGTCCTCGCACCCAGTTCCCTTCATCTACCCCAGGAAGAGATGCAGAAAGACACTTCACTGCCGCTCCCATCTGCACCCTTGGCCTCCAACAGTGTCCTGGGTGCTGGCCAGCAGGCCAGCATGTCGGGGCTCCCTGGCAAAAGCAAGACTGGGCGCCGTGCCTACACCAAAGCCCACCGGAAGCCCAGCATATCCAAGGTGATCCTGGGGATTGTGGCGGAAAAGGGGGCGCGCAACCGCGTGTCCCTGGCCACTCTGAAGAAGGCCGTTGCCACCAGGGGCTACAACATGACACGCAAGGCCTGGCGTTTCAAGCGAGTGCTCAGGGGCTTAGTGGACAAGGGCATGCTCAAGCAGGTGACAGGCAAGGGGGCCTCGGCCTCCTTCCTCATGGTCAAGAAGAACGCCTCCAAGTTCAGGCTTAAGGCTAAGAGACTGCAGCGGCGGCGGCAGCCTGGCCAGCGCCAGCCTGGGCAGCGCCGGTTGCTCAGGGGCTCCAAACAGGGCCACAAGCGGCTCATCAAGGGGGTTCGCAGGATGGCCAAATGCCGCCGCAGTTAACCAGGCAGGCTGGGCAAGTAGGCCGGGGTTCCAGGCCTGCCATGGGCTCAGTGCGGTGCGAATAAAAGGAGCCTGACTTATTTCACACCTGCTTCCTGTAATCTCTGGGGTTCAAGGGAGGAGGGGAGACAAAGAGGTATCGGGGGCACAGAGGAGAGGTAAGGCTACGGTGGGGGGGGGTGGAACCTGGGCAAAATACAGGTTAGATGGAAGTAAGGCCAGGGGGAGAGCTGGAGCAATTGAAAGCATCCATAGACATTAGCTCATTCAACTACATCCACTTGCAGGTGAAGAAACTGAGGCCAGAAAGGTCCACAGAAATTGCACGGCAGAACGGGGCCTAGAACCCCCCTTTGTCTGACTCACCTGGAAGTGTAGTTATGTGGTTGTGTACGAATGTGTGTGTATGTGCGTGCGTGTGCTGGAAACCTCTTAAGTTGCTTCTCAAACCCTTCACCCCAGGGTAGCAGCAGATCCCTGAAGCCTGGCTCTCCTGTCTCACATTAGATTCTTCCGTGGACACCAGAAGATGAGAACGCCAAGTCAGCTCCAGCCAGCTCAGGGCTGGAGCTCACAAGTCAAGGGTGGTCCCCATCATTCCAGAGTAATCTGGTTTGTCTGTGCTGCTCAGGGAGGTCAGAGGGTCCGGCTTGATAACCCAGGGGAGCTCCCACCCAGCACCCAGATTTTCATACTCACTCAGAGGTGGCTTGATCTCTCTTCAGCCTGTGGGAAAGCAAAGGAGAGGATTAGCTATTATCCACAACCCCTCCTGGGGCCAGGCCAGGCCAGGAGCTCCTCACTCCTTTCCTCCCTGAGGGGTCTGGGTCCCCAGAGAGCACAAGTGCCACAAGAAGTCCCAGCAATGTGAGCACCAGCCCCAGTGCCCTCCCTGCCCTCAGCTCCCCACACTCACCGTCCTTCCCGCCGGCAGCACATGACATAGGCCAGCAGCAGGGTAAGCAACAGAGCCACCAGCAGGGGCACCAGGAGGGTGATCAGTGCATCGGTCAGGAAGTCTCGGGCTGTGGCCTCGGTGGGAGGGCAGAAGAACGGGTCGTGCTCCAGAATGCCATCGCCTGGAGTGGGTACCTCATCTACAGGCTCTGGAACTGATTTATCCACCTGCTCAGAGAGCCCAGGGCTGAGCCAGGGGTGAATGCCTGGACACGGAGACTCCCAGGGCACAGGGCAGGAGTTCTGGGGCCACCCTACCCTGTGCAACCACAGGGATTCCTCCTGCCTGGCCTCCTCCAGCTCTTGTGACCAAGCAGGACTAGGAGCCAGGAGAGAAATCCCAGGAGATGTACAATGGTTAGGGCACAGCTCTTGAGTCCAACTGCGTGGGTTTGAATTCTGTTTCGGGCAAGTGCTGTGATGCAATGACTTTGAAGTGTCTCGGTTTCCTCACCTGTAAAGTCAGATGCTAATAGTGGTACCTACCTCCCAGGGCGGTTGTGAGGATAAAATCTGTTGATTGCATAGTGCCTAGCACAGAGCAAGTGCTCAAGAATGTTGATTATCAGTCCCCGCAATGTTGGTCAAGTCTCAGGAAAGGTTCCTAGGCCTGGGAATAGGATCTCTAGGAGCCCTAACCACCTCAGCTTAGGATCCCAAAGAGCAATAGTGAGCGTCTTTGGTTTCTAACACAGGGGTGAGAACTATCTGTTCCTTATTGCAGGTCGATTTGCTAGGTGACACCTCAGAGGAAAGAACAGAGCTGTCACACAGAGGTCTTTGGTGGAGAAAGGGATTCAGAACTGCCCCGTGAGAGCGACTGTTCTAGCTCTTGGTTTGGGCACTTCTGGGGCTCCAGGAGCTATAGCAATTCCTCGTCCAGATTATGGATTCTGTCGCCCTCTTGTGGAAGAAGGTAGAACTTCAGGGTGTGTGTGTGTGTGTGTGTGTGTGTGTGTGTGTGTGTGTGTGTGTGTGTGTGTGTCTCTCTAACTGAGAAACAACTTAAGAGAAACAGACAGAGATGGGAGAGTAAGGTGGGATGCAGGAGACCATGACGCCATGCCCCACCCCACCCCTGGAGCTAGGGTCCCTTCTCACCAGGGACACATTGCACCAGTCAACGCGGAAGTGAGGTGCCAAGGTGTCATAGCAGGACAGAAGAGGAGGCTGGCCCTGGGCACAGCGAGCGTGGCTGTCAGGGGATGCCACCATCTTCAGGCAGGTGGAGAAGGGTGAGGCAGAGCCCACCTTGATGTACACCCTGGGCCCAGACAGAAACCACCATCAGCAAATTGGAGGGTATTACTGGGCACTGGAGATTTGGGGGCTATGGCCACTCTGAGATCTGGGGTAATGATGAGAGTACACAGAGCACTTCAGTCTTCTGGTGGCCTTGTCCCCGCCAGGAATGAACAAGGATGGATATTTCACGTCCTCATGGGCACAAGGAAGTGCAGAGTTCAGGGTAACTAGGGTTTGGGCCCAGGAAGGACAAGAGATAAGAGGGTGACCAGAAGAAAGGAGACAGTGTCATGATGCTGCGAAGTGAAGATGGGCATGGTGAGCATGAAAAAATGTGGGTAAAGCCCCACTTGGAAATTAGGGAGACCCATGTTCTATGCCAACCACCCAGACAAAAGATAAGCTGCCCTCTCCTCCTCCAGGAAGCCTTCCTGGGTTGCATGCCTACCCTTCTTTGCGGCCCTCAATTGGAAGGGGAACTCGGCCCCCACGGTCCAAGGCAGAGGTGATGTTGAGCAGCTGGAGCTCCCCAGGCTCCCAGAGCCCTCCCAGGGCTGTGAGGAAATGGCTGGCAGGTGTTGAGGGCAGCACCTCCTCCACATCATGGCTGCGCACCAGGAACTCAGCCTGGTATGGCAGCAGGGGGCCTGGGAGAACCAAGTGGGTGCCTGAGGCTGCACCCACCCCCCAGCTCTGCCCCCCAGCCCTGCATGGATCCTTCTCAATCCTCCCCAACGTAAGCTCCTCCCTGTATCCCCTCAGCCCCCTTCCTTCCTCCTCAATACCCCACACATCACAAGCCTCAAAAGCTCTTCCCCCACACCCACAGCCTCAACGACTTGCCCAAAGCCCCATAGCCTATCAGCAGAGCAGCCAAGAATACAGCTCCAGAGTCTTTCCAGGATGCCCTGCCCCTCCCCAGTACTCCAAAATCTCCCCTTCTACACCTCTTTCCAGGGGAGAGCCTCCAAGACTGGCATTGGTGGGGTGGGGCAGGGCTGGTGGTACCTTCTGGATCCCCAATCAATAGCACCAGACTCTGCCGGGTGGTGTCGAAGCTGTCCCGATTGTAGACTGTGACCTGGAGGATGGAGTAGAGGGCTGAGAGCCAGGGTTATGGGAGAAACGTGGTACAGCTGGGCAGGCAGGAGAGGACGGAGTTACCGCCCCAAATTGAAGACATGTGACTTATATCAATGAATGAACACTGGATCCCTGCTGCAAGTGACACAGCCCACTGGGGTCCCTGTTGGTACCTCGATGACCTGGCGTCCACGATCTTCTGGGGTGGCGGTGCCATAGAGGAAGCCAGGGTGATGGGGGCTTCGCTGGGTGTAGCGGAGCCACCGGGGCAGGTCTGGGTGTCCCTGGAGGTGGGCATGGTAGGTGACAGGGACAGAAGGTGGGACAGCTGGTGGAAGGAAGGAGAGAGGGTTGGAGACACGACGAGGGCCTTCTGCAGACGTGGGCCAGGCACCCCTATCCACCCTGGCGCCCCTCAGGCCCCTCTCACCGACATGCTCAGCAAGGTGCAGGAAGGCTTCATGGTCCAGGGTGTGTACAAAGACGCGGCCCACAAGTGGGTGCAGGGTGGTCTCCTGGGCCTCGGTGCCCACCAGCCCTGCCAGGAGAACTGTGGAAACTCATGAGCCCCAGACGTACAAACCAACCTCAGTCCTGGCCAGGGAATGAGCTCGCCTTGTCTACCCAGCCCCTGGCGTCCCCGAGGGACAGGAGAAATGTGAGCGAGGAGGCAGATGGCTTTGCTGGATCCCAGCAAGGATGCGGTGGGGTCCTGGCTGTGCCACACACTTTAATCAGTGACAAGACCCAGATTTTGGTTTGGTTTTGATTCATGGAAGCCCCTTCACTCCTCATGTTAGGCCCTCAATCGGGGGTCACAGTGGGAAGGGACTGATGTCTGGCTGAGAGGGGTGTGTGTGTGAGTGCGCGTGTGCATGTGCGTGTGTGTGTGTGTGCGTGTGTGTGCGTGCATGTGTGTATTAAGAGCACTTGGAAAAGAACCCATGCTGTCGGGAGGTTGGAGAGAGTGGAGTTGGGGGAGGGAGGGCAGGACCCCTTGGAGGTGGCAGGTAGCCATTCTGGGGCTCCCCCACAACATATAGGGGGAATAGGGCCCACACTAGAGGCGGGTAGGAACTGAGTGAAGGGGATCCCCCGGGAGAGGACCTGCACCAACAGCCCCCACACGTTCCCAGGGCCAAATTTAGCCTGGACTCAGAAAGAAGCCAGCCCAGCCAGCCCATTAAAGGGCCCACGACGCTCTGGGCCTGTGCGGTTAGGCCCGGCCGGGCCTAGGACACCCCACCCCTCAGAGCTCCCAACCTTAGTTCCCGGGAGCCCCCACCAGCTGTGGAATTTACACCCCAAAGTCCTTCTGGTCCTGGCCTCACTCCCACCCCCGACTCCTCCCCTGAGGAACTTCCCACGCCCCCATCCCCGGCCTCTGCCCTGAAGAAGATCCCAACTTGCCTAGAAGGAGAGGAATCCAGATTAACGTGGCTGCCATGGCTGCCCCAGCCCGGCCCTGCCCTGTGAGTGACAGAGACAGGAGCCAGGGGGCAGGGAGGAGGGAGGGATGGGAAGGTGTCCCAGAGCAGCTGTGCTGGCTTCAGCCAGCGGGGCCCTCCCCCTCCCCACCCAGAGCAGGCACTAAATCTAGGGTGGCCACCCTCCTCGTGTGACAAGGTCCATCTAATCATCCCCTCCTGGGGGCCAGAGTCTATCTCTCAACCACCAACCTGACTGCCTTGATCCCCTCTTAGAGCCCGAATGGCTCCCATTGTCCTGAATTCCCCACCTGTTGAAGGCTTGCAGGCCCCTCCTGTACCGGGCCATCCGGTCTAGAATCCCTCCCCCTTCTACTCTCCTCACCTACCCCCCCATACACACGCACACGCACGCACACCCTACCCCAGGCTTCTGCCCAGCCTCACTCTGCTGCCCACAACCTAATACTCTCTCCTGAGTCCACACACCTTTGCACAAGCAGGTCCCTCTGCCTGGAGTTCCCTTCCAGCCTGCACCCAGCCAGCAAACTTCCATTCACCTTTCAGGACTTAGCGCAGGCCTCCTCTCCTCTCTGAAGCCTGTCTGGCCTCCTTTCCTCCCCTAGGCCAGGACCCCCTCAAGCCCCTGTGCACAGCCCAATCACACAGTGTTTCAGGGCGGACTGGGAACTTATCATCCTTTTATCCCTGGACCTGCCACAGGGCCCGGCAACTAGCAGCTGTAGGGGGCAAGGCGATGGCTTCCTTAAGAGCACATGAGGGTGCCCATTCACCCGGCCCAGTCCTCAGACCAGGCACTCCAGCACTTGCCCCTGGTCTGGGGAGAGAGCCCTGGATGGGACTAGCCAGGTCAAGACAGGGGAGTAAAGGAGGTGGCCCAGGCCTGCAGGCCTACAGCCCTGGATGTGAATCTCACCTTGACCCCTCACTGGAGAATGTGGCCTTGAAAAAAATCCATCAGCCTCTCTGTTTCCACAACTACAAAGGGGCGAAAATAATGCTGGCCTCTTGATGTCTTCCCGAGGAATCCACAAAATCATGAATCCAGTACATATTTACAAAGTATCTACTATGTCCCAGGCACTGAAGGGGCAGAGATGAGCGGCCTCTGCCCCGGGGGAACTGCCCCATTTGGTATTATGCTGAAGGTTTTACATATAGTAACTCATCCCATCCCCACAGCAGTTCCATGAAGCAGGTATTATCTTTGTCCCCATTTTCCAGATGAGAAGAGGCATAAAGGGTGTGTAACTTCCCTGAGGCCACCCGACAGACAGCTGAATGCATGGCAAGCTCTTAGCATGGTGCTTGATTCAACCCAGGGTCCCGCCAATGTCCTGGTGGGGGTCAGGGTGGGGGTTAGGGGGAGCACCACTGCCCCCTCCTCCCCGCATCTGCCCAAGGATCTCAGTCCAGGTGTGAAGGAGGCAGGGCATCCTTCTTTCCCTGGGCTTCCCATTCAGAGCAGGCAGGGGGGCACTCTCCCCAGATGTCCTGAGAAGGAGGCAGGGGACCATGCGTCCCAAAACTCTTGGTGCCTGTGCAGGCATTCTTCCTGGGCCTTGAGACAAAAGGGGTTGCCACCTCACCCCCGCAACCAAATGCCCCAGGCAGGGACATCAGGGACCTGCCCTGGATGGGCCTGAGGGGGAAGGGGTTGGCCTGCAGACTGGGGTGACCAGTGGGCAGGTTACTCAATCCTCATCCCTTCCTCCCTCCCCATATGGCCATCCCTTCCATCCTTGGATAGCCAGCAGATTCCAGAGTCAGTGGCCGCTCAGGCTCTCAGACAGAGCGAGGTATGTCCCAGAGTCACCTTGGCACCTTTCTGCCTTCTCAGAGGTGGAGGGCAAGAGGAAGAAAGAGTCTGAGGTAGAGGATAGTCAGAGGGCTCTGAGGGAGCAAGCCAAGGTGCCAGAGCCTGGCCAGCTGGCCAGGCCTCAGCCCCTCCCTGGTTCCATGTGACTCCCCTCCCTCTCCTGGCTGCTATTTTTACAGCCACCCACTGGCACCCGCAGCCTCAGTATTGCCCAAACCCAGTGGCCACCAGGCCTGCCGAGGCCAGCCTTCCTTACTGACCTGTCTCCCCCTCCCCAAAACCAGGAGAACCAGGGACTCTGCCAGGAGCGAACCGGAAGTCCCCTGAACGTCTCCTCAGGTCCACCAGAGGACCGCCCCACCTCCGAGCTGTCTGGATTGCAACCTGCTGCTGGAACCCTCAGCACCTTCTGTTCCTTGAGGCCTGGGGATAGGGAGGGGGAGGTCACGGGTATTTTTTAAAACTTATTTTGGAAAATGTAAGATAAAACTAAAGTATACAAAATAATACAATACGCCTCCATATATCTGTCACCCAGCTTCAACAAGGATCAACTCACAGTCTCGTTTCATCTGCACCCCTCCCCAACCCCCCCCCAGTTAATTTCCTCAATATTTCATTGTGAATCTATGAAAGATAATGACTTTTTTTTAACATAATCACAATCAATATACCCAATCACATGATTTTACCTTAAGGGTAATAATAATAATTCCTTAATATCTGAGCTATAGTGTTCAAATTTCCAATTTCTCATAAACGTCTTATTTCTTTTTGCAGTGTATTTGTTTGAATAAGGATCCAAATAAGATGTACACATTGCAATTGATAGGTCCTTTTGAAATCTCTTTAAATCTATAGATTCTTCCTCCAACTAACGCTCTCTCTCTCTTTCCTTGGGGTAACCAGGTCATTTGCTGTATAGTTTTCCAGTCTGGATTTTGCTGATGGCATCTCTACGGTGTTCTTTAACATGTTCCTCTGAGTGCTGTACTTCTTGCAAATTGTATTTGCTGTACATTGTTATTTCTCATAAATTGTAGTTGGATCAAGAGCCATATCAGGTGTAGGTTCCATTTTCTTTGGCAAGACCACTTCATAGGTGGTCATAGGAGCCCATCTTGAAGTCCTGATTTGGTCCTACCCAGCTGGAGCATCCATCTGGGGGAAGAGGGGGGTCAGTTCTGCATCTCAGTCTCTCTCAGCCTTGTCTCTACGAGCCCAGTCCAGGTTCTAATGCCTCTACTTCACTTCTGCTACCCCAGCCCTGACCTCAGCTAGTTGGTTCTCTGTCCCTACTGCTTTGCCATCCGCACCTGTCTCCCCAGGTTTCTGCCTCATCTTGGCCCGTCAGTGTTTCAGTTTAATACTTTAAGTTCTTTGTCCTTGTCTCTCCCCATCTCAATGAATGTCTACTGAATAAATGAATGATTGATTAATATATCATCTTCCCAACTCCGGCTCATTCCACTCCCATCTCTATAAACCCGTCTCTTGATCTCTAAGGGCCATATTTCCTTCATCTGCATCTAAAACAGAGGATTAGATGTCGTCAAGAGGGACAAAGGAAAGAGATTCTCGTCATTTTTATCTGATTGTCGCATCTGCCTCCCAGACTCCACCCACATCCTTCTCCTGCATCCTCTTCGCCGCCCCCAGCCCTACAACAAAGGGTGCGATCTGTCAATCTGCCACGAGAGGGCGCGTTCGCCGGCTCCAGCCCGGACTTGCGCCTGCGCAATATTGGGCCAGAGCCGTGTAACCAGTACGGATGGCCCCAGAGCGCCCCGCCCAGGGCAGGGATACGCGTCAGAGGTCCTTGCTGAGCGCAGCGGTAGAGAAGGCGACGGAGGAGGGGACCCACAGCCTCTAGCTCTGCCTCATCCTCCCGTTCCGGGTCCAGAGGATGTTCTTCCAAACAAGGAGGAGAAGCCGCATGGAGGCAGGGGGCTGGACACAGTGCCGTCTTCCCCACCCTCCCTGTCATCTGTATCATCCCTCCGACTTGCGAAGATATTTCCATCTTTCCCTACCCCCACGACATTTGGGGGCACCAGCCTGAGGACCTAAGTATACCCAGAATCCTCCTTCTCTTTTTATTGGTGAACTTCAGTCCTCAAAGGGGTTCCTTGAGCCTCATTAGGGCCCAAAGCTATCCATCATGGGTCTGAGAATGTCAGAGACCATCCCTGGCCAAACTTTTCAGCTTACAGGCGAAACTGGGAAGGGGAGGGACTGTCAGAGGTCCCACAGCACAGTATTCTGCACAGCTCCATCTCTGGACTTGGAGCCCAGGGCCCTTCCTATCCAGACACTCCCTCTGTGTAAAGTGGAGGCAGTAAGGATCATCGATGAGATAATGGAAGTAAAAGTGCTTTGTAAACTGTAAAGCTCTAGAGAAAGTAAGGGGTCTTTTATTTATTTATAACTGACGGTGCAAGGCAATAGCTGCCTAGGGCCAGCCCAGTGGCACAGCCTGTGAGCCAGGAGAAGTCAGATGCAGCAGCCACCATTCAATGACAGAGGATTAGGAAAAAGAAAAGAAACAAAATCACTGACTTTTTTTGTGGATGGTATGAGTACTTATATAGAAAGCCCCAAAAATCCCATAGGCATGTTGTCAGAGTTATTAAGAGAGATCAGCGAGGTTGTTGGGCAAAGTTTAACATCCAAATTTAAAGAAAATACAAAATTCAACCGTATGTCTACACGTGAGCAATCATTTATTAGAAACTGCAATATCTTTTTAAAAAGAAATGATTTACAATAAAATGAAAACTGTACAGAACCCAGAAAAAAACTTAGAAAAGTTATTAAAAGATATTTGTGAAGAAAAACTATATGCTATAAAACAATAAAAACTATAGGCTATAAAAGGAATAAATTGAGAAATGGAGGGATGTGTTAAGATCAAGAATGAGAAGCCTCAGTGTCACGAAGACAATTCTCTCCATAAAAATCTATCAATTCTATGCAAGCGCACTACATATTCCAACAGGATTTTTTCAGAGAGCTAGGCAAACTGATTCTAAAATTCATGTGGAAGAACAGAGGACTAATAAGAGACCAGACGATTCTGAAAAAGAATTAGCCCCTAACAGATACCAAGACTTATTTGGAAGCGATAGTAATTAAAACAATGTGGTCTTGGTGCTCGGCTAGACAAAGAGATCAATAGAATAAAGTGCCCAGAAACAGATCCAGGCATATGTGGGAATTTGATTTATGATGGCAATGGCATTGCAACTCAGTGAGCGAGAA